GGGAAATTTTCGGTATCAAAAAGTCATCCCAGCATCGAACAGTAGATGTACAGAGTTCTTTGCTTTATTCAAAAAATACAGAATGAATGTAGCTAAATCGATATCTGCCGCTTATAGTTTATCTAAATCTATAATCGACATCATACGAAAGAAATTTAAACTCGGTAATTTCTTCTCATGGGAAAAAAATAAATGTATGTGAATGCAAGAAAAAAGTTTAAAAAAGCTCAATTAGAACTTGGAAGAACATTGATGAAATGGTTCACCATTTAAAGAAGTCGCAATCTGCTACTATCAGAACAGATGCTATTTATAAACATATGTTTTAGATGGAGATTTATAATTGGTGGAAGAAATCTAATCGATAACTCTCAAATAAGTAATCTATCGTAAAATTATTATCATAATGGGAAAGCTAAAAAAATTAAAAACAAATTTATTAATTTAATGTAACAATAACTGCAATTAATTATAGCATAAAATTAATTTGCTCTCTTAAATAAATTTCTGTATTTTTTGAGAAATGGCATTTTTTCCCCCTTCTAATTAGATGGATATAGCGAACAAAACTTGCGGATCTTAGAAGTTCCTTATAGCTGGCTCGAATGCAGAATGGAAAGAAATCAGCGTGGGTGCTTAGTGAAGCCAAGCCTGCTATAGGTTATGAAGAATTTATGGGATAAAATCACTGCTGCCAATGCAATATGAACTTGCGAATAAGACACATTTAGAGCAAATAAGACGTGCGCTCTTCTTTTTGGTTTAAATGATTATAGCAAACGAGCACACGAGGGTTATCTGCCTAAGGGAAGGGATGACTTCGTGGAGAGCTTTCTGAGGGAAACTGGATCATATACAAGTTACACATAGGGAAAATCACGAAAACAACCATGCAGCCAGCCCGTTCACCAGGATTTGAACTCCAGACAGAACTACCAGTGTTTAGCAACTTTACTGTTCTATTCCTAGCCATGAAAGGCTAGCGCCAATGGTTCTACCGGAAACGAAGTTCCAAGAAAAGATGACATGACTATACTTGAATAAATTTCTGCATAGGAATAAATGCAAATTCTTGAATATATAAATATAGATTTTGGGGTACTTTTCTATTATTAGGATCAGATTCAGAAATGTGTGTATGTATACATATATGCATGGATGGATGTGTTTATACAATGTATATATATGTACGTACACTGCGCAAAAAATTAAAAAAAAAAATTGGACATTTCTGTATCTACCGTGGCCGATTAATAAAATTCAAATTGCGTTTTTCATGTCTCGAAAGCGCGACTTAGGATATGTATTAGATTTATATATAGCATATTACTATTTAGATTTCGCACAATTGGTCTTTTTTGAAAGAATGCAATTTTTCCATATTGATTTTACAATCAATTATGCCAAATGCAAATTTTTTTAAATCCACGAGTACTTTTTAAAAACTAGTCTCAAAAATTAGTTCCTCAATGTTATTGAATTTATCTATAATATCTCTTTTTTTATTAAATTTTGAAGAAGAATCAAATATTGGAATTAGATTCACTCCAAAAAATTCTGCTTTTTTTTATTTTTTTATTGTATATTTAAATATTTTATAATTTTTTCAAAAACTTTTGTAATATTTTTTATATAACCTATAAAATTTTTAACATCAGCTTAAAGTAGATATGTTTGTAAGCGCATTCAAAATTTTCTAAGATATACATATTTATATATTGGAGGGTTTTGAAATTTCGCATTTATTTTTTGAGCGATAATAACACTAAATGTGGTTTACGCACGTTGTTAAAATTATTTGAAGCCACGAACGATGACTTTTTTCCCACTCGTCTACAATGAAAAAAAAAGGGAGGCGGAATAGATTGCTATAAATTAAGAAGTTCGCCAAGTGAATTATTTCTCTGTAAATTTCGCACCAAAGTTTACAAAATTTAATATTTAAGCATAATTTGAGTCGTAGAATTGAAATATGGAAAAAAATTGGCATGTCATTTCAGAAAAAGTCCGATTTTTGTGTCGAAACACATATGCTAGAATGATGCTATATGTAAATCTAATATATATCCCAAGTCGTGCTTTCGAGACATGAAAAACGCAAGTTGTATTTTGTCAATCGGCCCAGTAGAACGAGGGATATAAAACTGTGCCCCCTTTTTTTTCGGCAGTGTACATACGCATGTGTGTGCCTATATACATACATAATACAATAGCTGCTTTAAAAATGATTGGCGACATCAAAATTAACAGTTTTAGATTTGGTGATCTCCACCTAAATTCATCTGTTCTCCCAAATTCGACAATCTTCTATGTTACATACCAGCCTTAAATTAACCAATCACAGATTAGCTCTACTTATACCTCAGACTTGGTATAAATACTCTTGGCAACAAAAACTAAGTCATTTCTTTACTAGCTTTCCCACTGCCAATACATCTCCATTGCTTCTTAACCAACTACATCATTTCCTTTTGAAAAGCCAGTGTGCATATAAATTTATCATATTTATTTATGATTGAATAAGTGTCTGCCAAATTAATTGGTTACGTGCGAGACTAAAGATTCGTGATTTATCGAAATCCAAATCATTATATCTTCATCTGTATGCATTAACCACAGCCATGACGGATATTGAAAGCTATTAAGAGTTCCAGTGTTCGACTCCACATTCAAAATCATGACATACATACATTTCTAAATCCTTTCCATACAACAGAAGAGTACCAAGTTTTCTCAATGGATAAATGTTCATCGTTATTAATGGAGGAAAACATTTTGTGAAAATTTGTCCTAATTCTTTTTTTTTTTTTTTTTTAAGAAAACAATTAAGACCCACCTTTATTTGGGGTGGGGGTTGAGACATAGTATATATTTATATTGCAATTTGTAAAATCCAAATTTTAATCTTTATAACTACGGGCTGGATTAGATTTCGACCACATCAAAACCACAGAATACATCGTAATTAATGACATTATGTATAATAACTAATAACACATCGTTAAAAGTCCAGGATAACCGACAGATGGTGTATATCTAACTGACTCGTTCTTCGAATGCTTGTCTGATTTTCATGGCATCGGACCGAAATAGCGAAGCTATGTGGAAGTGTACTACTGTGCATTTGTGGACAAATAGAGAAAAACGAAGTCGAGTGTGATCAAACTGCTATTTAATGGGCCAAATACGTCCGTCGCATGCTTAAAAGGTATCCAGGCTCTGCTTCATCGAAAACAACCATTTGCCATTGGTATGCTGATTTCAAGCGCAGTCGCCCGGATACAAATGATGCCACACTCTCAGGTAGCCCCAATGAAGCAGTCACTCCGGAAAATGTGAAACAAGTGTTTAAAATCGTGACGAATGACCATAAAGTGAAAGCTCGTGAGATTGCCGAGATGGTAAACTTATCAACTGGAAGTGCGTGTACGATTTTACATGAGAAGTTGGGCATGAAAAATGTATTTTCCCAAAGGGGGCCACGTGTTCTCACAATTGAACAAAAGCAACAACAAGTCGACGATTCACAGAGCTGTTTTTCACCGTTTACTAGAAATAAACAGGATTTCTTGCATCGGTACGTGACAATGGATGAAACATGAATCCATTATTTCACTCCAGAGTCGAAGCGGCAGTCAGCTGAGTGGCGTGCATCCGGTGAAAGCCGTCCGAAGCATCCAAAAACGCAATAGTCAGCCGGCAAAGTCATGGCATCAGTGTTTTAGGATGCGCGAGGTATAATTTAACCGACTACCTTTAAAAGGGAAAATCTATCAATAGTGCCTATTACAGTAGCGCCTATTATTGCGTCTGAAGGATGAAATCGCAAAAAAAAAAAAAAGACCACACATTAAGAAGAAAAAATCATCTTCCATCAAGACAATGCCCCGTGCCACAGAGTCAATGCAAACACTTGTTACATTGAACAAGTTGGGCTTCACTCTGCTTCCCCACCCACCATACTCCCCAGATCTAGCCCCTAACGACTACTGGCTGTTTGCTGTAGTCAATGGTGAAATAAATGGTTGCTGTAAAAAGATGCTCCAGGGAAAAAGATTTGGCTCGAATGAGGAAGTCATCGCTGCCACTGAAACTTATTTTTCGGACAAGGACAAATCATTTCACAAGCATGGTATCGAAAAGTTAGAAAAGCATTGGAATGATTGCATAGCTCTTCATGACGATTATGTTGATGAATAAACGTGAATTTTGTGAAATGGATGTTGTTTTCTGAGTTAGTCCCGAGACTTATTGAACGATGTGTTATCATATGTATCCTATGACTTTCAAAATTGTATTAGAGTATTCTCAATAAAATAAAAATAAAACAGTAATTTGCCTTGATCTATTTTAAAATCCTCGCAACAGGAACATTTTGAGCAATATTCCTACAATGCTATGATAAATATAATTTAGCTGATTTTTCTAGAAATTATAGTTACCATGTTAGAAAAGATGTTTTGTTTTTGAAGGATACACATTTCATCCAAAAAATAAATTCAAAAGCAGTAGCACATTTTTCACCGTTTATTTTAGAACTAAATATATAGGTTCAAAATTAAAAACTACATTTCATGTACACAATACATACATCATTAAAAATAAACAGTTAACTTCCTAAAGTGAAGCAAATCTTAATATTTTTACACAGCATACTTATTTGCTCATGCATACTTTCAAAGATTATTTTTATACAACATTAAACTACAGCATCTACTCAAGAAAACTAAACTTGTATGTTTTCAATAAAAGCATTACATGAATTAAATAAGATTAAAAATATCTATACAAATGCATAACAAAAAAGCAAACACACATAACAAAACGCTACTGACACTTGCACCATTGCACCATTTTTGCATTACCAAGACAAAGCATCTTTGTATTATCAACATGAAGTGATAGATATCTATGCAAATAACTACATGAAATCTTTCTCATATCATATACAATCTTTAAAAAAGAATTCATTTCAAAGAGTGCTATACAACTACTTTCCCCACTGAGTAACAGAAAATATAATCAAAGTAACATCAGAATCGCATAAGCTTATATACAAATAAGTCAATCAAAGGCAAATCAAAGTGATGACCCAATTTCAGAGGAGTATAACAGCACTGCTGCAAACAGTTTATGTCTAATCAGATCTAAATGTAAATTGTATGTGTCAGATCTAAAGTAAAATTTTACAGTTTCGAAATGCTAGTAAAATTTTGAAGGAATATATATTTTCATCACACAGTAACTCCAACTGCACTAAATTATCTTCAAATAATTTACAACTTTCAAAATAGCCTCCCATGTCACCAATTCTTGTGTACATGTCAAGTTTTTTAAAAGGCTCCACAGGGCTAGTGGTGAGTAACTGATTGGTGTACTGAAAGGACTGGGTTCAAATGCTGGAGAAGGCATGGATGTTTGTATACGTATATTGTCTGTCCAACATGGTGGCACTCTAAATATGCGAGCCGAAACTCCTCTCAACAGGTTGGTGGTAAGAGAAAAGGGGTGGGAGACCTTCAGACCCATACGGACCTCAGACTCATCCTCCCTGGAGGATGCTGAAGAAGTAATCTAAGATAATATGCTGATCATAATTTATAATTAAGTGTTTGATTACACTGTATTCAGTTTTGTGAATTTATATATTTATATACTGGCAAAAATATAAGTGTTTTCAAAGCTTAATTTTGCTAGAGAAACATAATTTTATGATAAAATGTACATAATTACAATTATATAATTATACATTTATTGAAATTTTCAATGATTTTAATAATATTATACAGTGATTATTTGATAATAAAATTAATATTAAACGAATAATTACTTTTATTTTTGAAATTACAAACAAATATAGAAAGAAAAAAGAAAATTTTTAATAATTGGTTATAATTATATGCAATAATGACTATTATAGTTATTTAATTATAATAATTAAATAATTATATTCTTTTTATTTTGAGGGTAAAACCTATATGCAATATTACACATAACTGAAGGGGAATAAAAAAACAAATTTATTTGGGGGGGGGGAAGAATGGAAAAAGTTGTTGCATAAAACATTGGCAAATGTCACCTTAAATAAACTATAATCAGAGAAGACCCCCACTCAAATACAGTAGATAAGTGTTGACTTTTTTTTTTTTTTTCCTTTAGCCATAGGAAAAGTATTTCTGCTAAAAAAAATATAATTCCATTATTTATAAGAATCTTATTTTTAAAAGCAAGCAATGAAATGTGTTGTTCCAATAAAATTCTATGTTATGGGGGGGGGGAATATTCAACACCTTTGGTTACCAGCATTGTAAATCAATAGCAATCTTTGAATTTATTTCTGCGAATATGAAATAAAGGCGTGAAAGGCAACAGGATTACCTGATAAGATGAGGACTTTTCCTTCTTTAGTAGTAAATTCCATCTTTCCAGAAAAATGCAAATATTCTTGCGACCTTCTCACCCTGCGGCGCATAAATAACACCCATTCTGGATGATCATAAGTGTTTAGGTAGAATGCCAAGGTTGCATTTCACGTGGTTGAACTATAACATGCATACATTGTCGCCAAGCAGTGCGAATTAGTGCCAGTAATGAATAGGCATGACGTCACAACACAATTATACAATTTTGATTTAATGTAGATTCGATTAATTCTTGATAAGCTGGTTTAATTATTTTCAAAGAAAGACACAAGTTCTATTTTTTCTCTCAAATTTTGAAACAAAGAAATGTTAATTTTTGGGATTGCATTAAGGGGAGTATTTTCAAAGTTATAAGATCTGAGCACCAAAAAAAGGCCATGATAAACAACTCATTTAATAAATCATCAATTCATTTAATAAATAATAGTGATGCAAAGTGAAAAATTATTTAAGTGAATTTAAGTTTTTTGTATGCTATATTCATAATTTGTATCTCTTTATTATCTAACTGAATTAAGAATAATATGCTTGTTTTAACTTCTGCCGAAATGACTAAAGAGATCTCCATGAACTTTCATGTTCGAGGGGAGGGGGAGATTTTACAATCGGATCAGGCCTACGAAATTCACCAGCTTTTATACAACTGAAAAGCATTCTCCTCTCTCTCTTCCAAAATCTTAGTTATAAATGTAGGTTTTTGATATTCAGATTGATAATAATCACTCCAACAGGGTGATTGTTTTTATGAATTTAGAACAGATTATTCCTACTAATTCGGCTTTGATAGCATGAATTCCATTTTCTATATGCTTAACTATCCGCAATTTTCTTATATCCCGAATTCAGCATTTCCTGAGCTTTCTGGATACTCGAGCTTCTAATGTACTAACAATTTACCTATATTTTCAAGCAGTTTAACCCTCTACAAAATTCATAGAAACTGAGAATTTGATTCAAATGAAATTACAAGTGAAATCACAGATTGGAAATTGAATCAAATTCAAAAGAAATAATATATTCAATATATATATCCCTCGTACTTTCTGATTAAATGGTGAATACTCTATTTGTGGATCCTAGGGTCAGATGATTAATCTACTGAATAATTTTATATGAAAATTATTTTTTTTGAATATGAGAATTTTGCTCTTTGTTTACATTACTCTTGCATTTCAACAGAAGTCAATGTGAAACAGATAATTAACAAATGTATATTTAATTTCTTTTTGAGATAAAACAACTTACATTTATCCTTTTTGCAGCTGTGAGAACAAGTCTTTCTTCCCAAATACACAAGGTATCTGTTGGTCCTAAATTTCTAATGTGAACTGTGTTCATTTGTGCCAACTGCAGCATTATGAAATGACCATCAAAAGGTTAACAGATCAATTAATAATGTTTATATATTCCAGACTGTATACAATTAAATTATGTATTGCTGTAGGAAAAAAAAAACTTCCAAATTCTATTAGAACATCTGCTATCACAGCTCTTAGGACACAGAGGAGTTTTCTTTGTTTTGTATTTTGCTTAGACTGTTTTGCATTATGCTAATAATATGTGATAGTAATTTTTCCATCAGTCCACAATAAGCAAAACACTTTTTCAGACATGGTCCAGTTAATATGGAACCTAGTTGATCTGCTCCCACGCAATCAGGGAGCTAGCTGATTGTATGACAAATGCTCCCACATAATCAGGAGCTGATTGTATGACAAAAACTTGATTGTTATCTTTGTGTTTGCTTATGCAAATAAAGATCTCCTATAACAGTGGTCTTGAACTCTAATTAAAAAAAAAAACTTATTTAATTTACATGAAAAACAAATAAATTATGAAAACTTGACAAAAAATTTATCATCAATAAGTCTTCTTCTATTTATTAAGTTTTTCTTCAATACATAAACAAAAATAAGTATGTATGTGCATAAATTATAAACACTTCTTTTATTTCTCATTACAACTTGATAGTTAGTGATGTTTTGATTTTGATAAAATTTGTAGCCTTGGATAGAAATTATTTTCATCACAAATTGTAGATGCTCATTAGTATATGTGGTTTCTTTCTTATTAATTTTCAACTGTCATAAAAACTGTTCACTTATAAATGCATTCCCAAACAAAGTGATTAATCTTAGAGGGACTTTAAAAATTCATAACTTCATAACCTTTTTGACAAG